TCCTGGGTGGTTGGTATATCTGCTTCAAATTAAGGATTTGGTGTCATGGAAACAGCTTGTTCATTTGGAAAGCTGCTGCCACTCTGTGGGAAGGCAAAAGACCAGTATGTGCAAGTGTGTATATGTTTAACATTCCCTATCAGCCCTCAGCAAAACAAATACCCATTCCTGCCAGAAAGTATAGAATTATATGGGAGGGTTAGACTTTTACTTTTGGCATCAGAGTTTCAGAACAGAGCACATGAATCATCTGGAGAATCATGTTAGAATGAAGATTCTGATTCCATGGATCTGGGGTGAAGGCTAAGATTCTGCATTTCTAAAGAGCTCCCAGATGACACCTATGCTGTTTGTCTGGAGATCATACTTGGAAAACCACTGTTCTAGAGTTGTTATCAATTTGGCTGAGCATTAGAATCACCTTCCTCTTTGGCTAGTGTGAATTAATGTTTGGTCAACATTTTAAAAGAGTTTTAGTTTAAATTGCTGCTTTTTCTGCTTTCTATGTCAATTTTAACTTTTGTCTAGAGCTAAGATATCTTCGTAAATAAAAGAGGGTAAAAACTGCACATGTTTAGTATACTGCTCTAAATTGGGCATTACTTGAAGTCTACTGAATTACACTAAAGTGTGAAGACCTGGAGGGAAAACAGTTTGCAGTCTCCTGCTCTTATGTGGAACAAAGAAGCCTTATAGAAGATTAATCTGCTAAGAGCTGTGACTCTTTGGCACCATATCTGATTGAAAGTGCCCACTGTAGTGAGTTGAATACCGCCCTACAGAATATTACGTCCACCCAGAATTTCAGAATGTGACCTTATTTCGAGCTAGAATCTTTGAAGATGTAATTGATTAAGATGAATTCTTACTGGATTAGAGAGGGCCCTAAATCCAATGACTGGTGTCTTCATACGGGGAGCGGACACAGGCATAGAGGGAAGAAGGCCATATACAGTGGGGAAAGAGGTTGGATTGATGGTTCTATATCCAAAGCTTCTCCAAGGATTGCAAGAGACACTAGAAGCTAAGAAGTGGCAGGAAGAATTCTTCTCTAGAACCTTCACAGGAAGCATGGTCCTACTGATCCCTTGGCTTCAGGTTTCTGGACTTTAGAACTGTAAGAGAATACATTTCTGTTGTTTTAAGCCACCAAGTTTTTAGTAGTTTGTCATGGTTGTCCTAAGAAACTAATAAACCCACCATAACATACTGAGCTGCACTGAAATCTGGTCTCATCAAGGTTGAATAAAATGCTGCTCTTTCCTTGGAATGGACAAATACTTTATTTCCTAAGGGAAGTATGTAAGTTTTATTCTATTGAGCCATAAATTTAAATCCCTCAATAAATTCAGGGACCATCTATTATCCTGTGATTCTGAATAGCTTGTGGTTAAGTACATGGTTCTAATCACAGCTATTAAATAATAATGCTGAAGTAGTGGATCTTTCATCCAGTTTTCTTCAGCATCCTTAGGTTACACTTGAGGAGTTCTGTAGTAGTTGTGAAACTGATTTCATATGTATATTAGTCCATTCTTGCATTGCTATGAAGAAATATCAGAGACTGGGTAATTTATAAGGAAAAGGTTTAATTGGCTCACAGTTCTGCAGGCTGTACTGGAGGCATAGTGGCTTCTGCTGCTGGGGAGGTCTCAGGAAACTTACAATCATGGTGGAAGGTAAAGGGGAAGCAGGCAAGTCTTACATGGCCAAAGTAGGAGCAAGAGAGAGAGAGTGGAAGATGCCACACACTTTTAAACAACCAGATCTCACGAGAACTCACTATTGTGATGATAGCACCAAGGGAGATGGTGTTAAGCCATGAGAAATGCCCTGATGATCCAATCACCTCCCACCAGGCCCTATCTCCAACATTGAGGATTACATTTCAACATGAGATTTGGGTGGACACAGATCCAAACCACATCATTCTGCCTCTGGCCCATCTCAAATGTCATGCCCTTTTCATATATCAGAATACAATCATGCCTTCCCAGCAGTCCCCCAAAGTCTTACCTCATTCCCTCATTAACTCAAAAGTCCAAAGTCCAAAATCTCATCTGAGACAAGGCAAGTCCGTTCCACCTATGAGCCTGTAAAATCAAAAGCAAGTTTGTTTCTTCCCAGATACAATGGGATTATAGGCATTGGGTAAATACTTCCATTCCAAAAGGGAGAAATTGGCCAGAAGAAAAGGCTCCAGGCCCCATGCAAGTCTGAAACCCAGCAGGGCAGTCATTAAATCTTAAAGCTCCAAAGTAATCTCCTTTGACTCCATGTCTTACATCCAGGGCACACTGGTATGAGGGGTGAGCTCCCAAGGTCTTGGGCAGCTCTGCCTCTGTGACTTTTAAGGGTTCAGCCCCTGCAGCTGCTCTCACAGGCTGATGTTGAGTGCCTGCAGCCTTTCCAGGTACAGGGTGCAAGCTGCTGGTTGATATGCCATTCTTGGGTCTGGAGGACAATGGCCCTCTTCTCACAGCTCCAACAGGGAGTGCCCCAGTGGGGACTCTGTGTGGGGTTTCCAACCTCACATTTCCCCTCTGCACTGCCCTAGTAGAGGTTCTCCATGAGGACTCTGTCTCTGTAGCATGCCTCTGCCTCAACATCCAGGCTTTTCCATACATCCTCTGAAATCTAGGCAGAGACTGCCAACCCTCAACACTTGAACTCTTTGCACCTGCAGGCTTAACACTACTTGGAAGCCACCAAGGCTTATGGCTTACAGCCTCTGAAGCAGTGCCCTCAGCTGTAGCTGGGCCCTTTTGAGCCATGGGTGGAGGTGAGAAGCTGGGATGTAGGAAGCAGTATCTGGAGGCTGCCTGGGACAGTGGGGCCCTGGGTCTGTTCCATGAAACCTTCTTCCCTCCTAGGCCTCTGGGTCTGTGATGGGAGGGGCTGCCTCAAAGATCTCTGAAATGCCTTCAAGGCCTTTTCCCCATTGTTTTGGCTATCAGCACTTTGCCTTCCTTTTAGTTATGTAAATTTCAGCAGCCAGCTTGAATTCCTCCCTTGAAAATGGGTTTTTCTTTTCTACCACATGGCCAGGCTGCAAATTTTCCAAACTTTTATGCCCTCCTTCCCTTTTAAATATAAGTTCCAGTTTCAGGCCATTTCTTTGCTCATACATATGAGAATAGGCTGTTAGAAGCAGCCAGACTACATCTTGAACACTTTGCTGCTTAAAAATTTCTTCTGTCAGATACCCTAAATAATCACTCTCAAGTTCAAAGTTCCACAGATCCTTAGAGTTGGGGCACAATGTCTCCAAGTTCTTTGCTAAAGAATAACAAAAGTGATCTTTGCTCCAGATCCCAATAAGTTCCTCATCTCCATCTGAGACCTCATCAGTCTGGCCCTCTCTGTCCACATCATTATTAGCATTTTGGCCACAACTATTCAATAAGTCTCTAGGAAGTTCCAAATTTTCCCTCATCTTTCTGTCTTCTTCCGAGCCTCCAAACTCTTCCAACTTTTGCCCATTACCCAGTTCCAAAGCTGCTTCCACATTTTCAGGTATCTTTATATCAGTGCTCCACTTCTCAGGACCAATTTTCTGTATTAGTCCATTCTCCATTGCTATAAAGAAATACCTGAGACTGGGTAATTTGTAAAGAAAAGAGTTTTAATTGGCTCATGATTCTGTAGGTTGTACAGGAAGCATAGCAGCTTCTGCTTCTGAGGAGGCCTCAGGAAACTTAAAATCATGGCAGGAGACAAAGGGGAAGCAGGCACATCTTACATGGCCAGAGTAGGAGCAAGAGAGAGAGGGGAAGTTGCCACACACTTTTAAACAACCAGATCTCATGAGAACTCACTATTGCTATGATAGCACCAAGGGGGATGGTGTTGAACCTTCAGAAACTGCCCTTATGATCCAGTCACCTCCCACCAGGCCCCACCTTCAGCATTGGGGATTACATTTCAACCTGAGATTGGGGTGGGAACACAGATTTAAACCATGTCAGTGTGATTCACCGTAACTCTGTAGATGCTTATTGGATCAAGGTAAAGGGTTTGATTTCCTGGTAAAATGGTTAACTCTGTTTTTGTTCTTGGCCATAGACTACTCATTTAATCCTGGCTAGTGTCCTTAAAAACGTTGATGAGAATTAAAATTGAGTAAAAATGTATGGATCAAATTCAACATTCTAACAAACAAAATATTTCAAGGACAAAGGCTTCTAAAAAGTGAGTCAGTAGATGTCTACTTGTGCAAAGGACAGGATGGTGGTGATGATGATGTGAATGATGGTTAATGTAATAGGTATTTTTGGGTCAGCAGTTTCACTATCAGCATTTAGGTCAAAGGCTGGAAAATTGAATTGTGTTCCAGGTTTGATCTCAATCTGTGCTAGATTTGTAGTCACAATTGAGATAGCTTTGAAATGTATTAATTATTAATACAGCTGCTTTGATTTTGAGGATGAAATTAATTTCATGGATTTTTATCATTGTCTCAGATATAGCTTTGGGAGTTCCAGGGAGATATTAAAAATATTGCCTATTAAGTCTTAGAATCCTATGTCAAATCTGACAAACTTGATCAGGATTTTATGGCAACTCCTAGTCAGGTGTAAGCAACTTAACCTACAGGGTATTTGTGTCAGTGCATATTTGCTATTGTGATTTACATTCTAATAGAGGTTACGAGAAAAGATCTTGGGAGTTATCTTTATGGCAAGACATTGTGCTCTCAAGAAAATAGTTTAGTAAGAGGCTTTCTGGAGTGCAATGTTAAAACAGGCCCACTCTGTATAGTAAATATTAATTGGTAAAATATCCCAGTAAAGGAAGGGGCAAGGAAATGAAATTCATGCTTTTGCAGTGTTTGAATAATGATTTTATTACCCTAAGATGAAAGAAAGAAGTGGATTTGTCTTAAAGCATTTGAGATTTGAGAGAAGATTTTAAAAAGTGCTGTATCATAGAGCATTTCAGTTTATCAGAGGTTAAATCAACTTTGCAGTAGGTTTAGTTAACTCAAGAGGAATTTGGAGATGCCTGTATAGTTCATGAGCATCATGATTGGATGTTCACATGTATGTGTGAGATGTGCCACCCTTGAACCTCATGAGACGTTGGCACATTATCTGTCAGACTTGAAAAAAAAAATAAAAAGGAATTTGGCAGAATACAAGGTGAATGTTGATTACATTAACAAGATGACTATCACTCTGGCTGCCCATTCTGTCTTATTTGGTATCATTTACTACAGGGATGGGTGCTTCCTTAAACATCTTTCCTATTTCTTACTTTCCTTCCATCAGAAAAAAATCCCAGGAAAGTTTCAGAGAGATCCTGAGATACTGTTGTTGCAGAACTTCTCCTTAGTTCGGCTAACCCTGGGCTCCTGCCACATGACCAGGAAAGATAATAGGCTTGCAGACACATAGAAGGGTGAGGGAAACGGAATTTATTGGGCGAAAAGGAAAAAAGGAAAAATAACTCTCAGCAAAGCGAGAGTCCTGCTAGCAGATTTCCCGCCTCACAGACTGAATCCCAGGTCACCACCCAGGAACAAGAGAGGCCAGGCTCCTTCCCCCTGCAAATGGCATGAACTTCCTCAGACTCCACCCAACCTCCCAGTGAGCAGGTGGGCGTTATTCAGAAAGAATCAGTCAGGAAAGGGCGGGCTTCATTCGGGTTTTTCCAGTTCAGGCTGTTTTAGGCTTGAAGGTGGGGTTTCACCAGGGACTTGTGGCTGTCTCCTGTCTCTGCCACTATGACTGCATGGCTTTTATTTGTCCTGTTTGTTTCTGTAAGTTATTAGAAGGAAGAAAGCTTTAAAATATTAGGATACTCACAGAAGTATATTTCAGTGCTCTACATATGGCTGCCTAGGAAGAAGATTAAAATGAATGTTTACTTGAGTACCCATCAAGTGCCAGGTTTGGTGCCGGTAAATGCACATATCCCAGTGAGGGACTGTGTTAAAGAAACTTCCCTTCCCCAGCCTGCTAGGGGAGGGGTTTCAAATGCAGGAATTTCCTGGCTCCATGCCTCCATCTGGAGACCAGAGGGGTTTCAAATGGAAAGTTCTTTGTCCAGTTATCCCGTGTGCGAACCGTGCCAGGCAGGGAAAGCCAGGCAGGGCTCTTTTGTCCCAAATTCCCACAGCAATTAAATGGGATTTACGTTAGTCTGATTCTAAAACCCAAGTTCTTTTCATTGCACCACATTACCTTTCAGAAAGTAAAACAAATAAAGTATTGAGTTCCATCTCCATGTTTGTCAGGCACTTTGACCTTCTGAGAGATGGTGGTTAAAAGGTCAGGGATACAGCCAGTTTGCCCGAATTCAAAGTTCACACTTGCTAATAGCTGTGTGACCCTGGGGGTGTTGCATGCCCTGTCTGTGCCTCATTTTTTCATCTGTATCATGGGAGCCAGGAGAAAACTGCCCCTTGGCCCCCTGAAGGTCTGCTGAAAAATCAGCTGACCGAAGGCAGATTAATAAGAGAAGAGGCATAGAAATGTATTCATGTGCATTGAGGGAAAGTCACAGAGTGATTACTCCAACCCTCTAATGTGGTACAGAAGCTTATATACTATCTTGAGGTTACAGAAAGAATGTGATCTCAGAGCCCGGCCCAAACAAGTTACGGTAGAAATCAGGTTACAGTGGCAAGACAGGTTAGGGGAGGGGGAGAAGAGGAGGCTTGGCTAACAAAGGGATTTGTGTTATGTAGAAGAAACCTCACCAGAGAGCTAGTGAATGTTTCTTTCAGACCTTGAAAGATGTCAGACTCTCAGCTAATCTTCTGAACAAGGGAGGGCCTCAGAGATGGCTTGGCAGCATCGGTGCAGATTTTCTCTACAGATACATATCTTCCCCACAAAAGGCATCTTCTTAGCTATTCTTGTATTTCCAGCCCTTCTGAGTAGCCATATTGAAGTATGTCAAGGAAATATATTTTTAGGGTGAAATATTTTGGTTTCCTTCAGTATAAAGGGTAGTAATGTTAGCTTCTACCCAAGGGGGTTGTGGTAAATCCAGAATGAGCAGATAGAGCAGTGCCTGGCATATGGTGGAGACCAAGTTAGTATTTATCATTGAGCTTTGTGATGACACTATTTTATCAGCAGAGGAACTAATTGGCCTGGAGTGACACAGCTAGAATGCAGAAGCACAGCTTAAATGGAGTTTGAACCCAGCCTGATATTTTTTGGTCCAGGGTTCTTTCCATTACATCTCAGGGAAAATGAGCAGGAGTCACTGAGAGTTAGGGAGGACACAGTGTACTCTTCGGAGTCCCTGAAATGTTTGCATTGGCCTCTCAGAGAGAAAAAAACATGTAACAACCGTTCTCTGGGATATGAAAAATCCAATGTCCATAACCAGAGAGCTCTGATTTCCAGTTGCAGCTGAGGAAGCCAGTTATTAAAAAGGCCCTCACAGCTTCCTCACTCACTCTTTTCCCTTAGAATCCTGACTCACGGTAGCCTGCACCCTTTTTTCCTCCCCTCAGGGCCCCCACCCTCAAACCTGGCATGAACCCCTAGAATTACTGTGGAGGTAGCAAAGAACTGATGATCAGCATGAAGCGGCTGTAATTTGAGTCTTCTTGCAGAGCTAATCCTCACATTGGTTGCTGTAGTCAAAGCTTTAGGGAAGATAGCCCTAGTACTGTGTGCTAAGCCACTTCTACCTATTGTTTTTTTTTTTTTTTTTTTTTTTTTTCTTGCTCTGTTGCCCAGGTTGGAGTTCAGTGGCACCATATCAGCTCTCTGCAACCTCCACTTCCTGGGTTCAAGAGATTTTCGTGCCTCAGCCTCCCAAATAAGCCGGGATTACAGATGTGCACCACCATGTCTGGCTAATTTTTGTATTTTTAGTAGAGACGGGGAGCAAGAGTCCCACTGCACTTTGGGGTGAGATGTGTGAAGTGTTGCAAGTAGCATGAGGCAGACAGATGGGAAAACTGCTGGCAGGTTTTAACTAGGGCTGCTCTTGGCTGGCTTGGCCTGGAAAACTTAGGCCAGCAGGACCCCTTGGCAGCTGCTGCTTGCCTAGAGCTGGGCTGTGATTAGAATGTGTCACCACCTGCTCTACCGGTCACTGACTCACCTGGCATTGTGCCGATTGCTGGATCAGAAGGAGAAATCCTTGGTTTTCCTTGCTTACTAAGCCACAGCTGGGGACTGTGGTCTGCTTCAGAAAATTTCTGACACCCCTAACTCTATGATTTTAACTTAAACAATGCACAAGACAAAAAACAGTATGAGACAGTTTTTATATACATATTTGATTAATTTGCCAGTTGATTATTCATTATTAGTTAACAAAAACTATAAGCATTTATTATCTGAGGTTTCATAGCTTTTGTTTCAGAAGATAGTAATATAAAGATGAATAAGTCTTGGTACCAGCCCTTGGGGAAGGGGGCATGGTCTGACACAATACTACACTGTAACATAGGAATCCAGAGTAAGAAGAACAGAAAGTCAAAAGTCCAGGGTTGGGTGCGGTGGCTCACACCTGTAATCCCAGCATTTTGGGAGGCAGAGGCAGGTGGATCACGAGGTCAGGAGTTCAAGACCAGCCTGACCAAGATGGTGAAACCCTGTTTCTACTGAAAATATACAAATTAACTGGGTGGTGGCACATGCCCATAATCCTAGCTACTCTGGAAGCTGAGGCAGGAGAATCACTTGAACCTGGGAGGCAGAGGTTGAGTGAGCCACTGCACTCTAGCCTGGGCAACAAAGCGAGACTCTGTCTCAAAAAAAAAAAAAGTCAAAAGCCATATTAGTTTTGTAGTTTACACTTCTCCAAGTTATTAAAAAACAATCACAACTCAAGCCATACCATGACTAGCGCTTCTATACGTGTTGTTTATCTCACTTTTTAACTGCTCTAAACTTCTCACCACTCCTCCCTCCAATTTGTAAGCTCTTTCTTCAGAACCTGACTAAAAACTCAACCTGAGATATCTTCTTAGTTACACCTCATCTGATTCTGATTTCTACGTATTTCTACATACAGGATTTTTATTCCTCCATATAGGACTCCTTGATATTTATGGTGGGCTGTTTGTTTATCCTGAATGGATCTGGGTTGGGGGGTATATAAAGATGTATATTTTCATGTAAATTTTATTGAAATATATCCTGCAACTGGAAGAGGGCACATATTATAAATGTGCAGCTCAATTAATTTTCACAAAGCGGACACACCCATGTAACCAGTACCCAGATTAAGAAACCGACTATTCCTGGCACCCAAGAAACTCCTCTTTTTCTCTCTGGAGGGTGGTCTCTAACCTGACCTCTAATATCATAGATTAGTTTTGCCTGGTTTTATACTTGATATAAGTGGAATCATGTGGTGTGTACTCTCTTGTTTTTAATTTCTTTCTGCCAACATTCGCCTAACACTGTCTTAACTCCACTCAAACTCAGCCTTGTTTGGGAAATTATTCATGTTATTATCTGTATTTGTAGTTTTTTCATTTCCATAATTGTATACCTTTTCTTTAAATGAAAATGCCACGTTAACTGTTTAGTTTATTATAGAGGGCCATTTGTGTTGTTTCCAGTTTTTGACTATTGTGAATAATGCTGCTGTTAATCTTGTAAATATCTTTTGAAGAACATATATGTACATTACTGTATAGTACATACCTAGAAGAGGAATTCCTGGGCCATAGTGTATACATATGTTCATTCAGTTTTAGCAGATACTCACAAACAGTTTTCCAAAGTGATTATACAAATTTACTTCACACCATCATTTTATGAGAACTGTAATTGCTATAAATCCTTACCAACATTAAACTTGTCTGTCTTTTTCATTTAGTTACTCAAGTGAACATTTCATGAATACATCACATATATGTATACAGGCATATTTGTGAATGTGTTTATGTATTTGAAAATCATACATATATTTGCAAATTATATTACTGATTGCATATCTGTGTTTTCAATGCAATTGTGAGCTCTCTGAGGGTAGGGTCTGTCTTTTTTGGTTGTTTTGTACATTCTTATTCCCCAGTACAATGCTCTATACCAAATTCATAGTCAATAGGCTGTTGCTAACTGACTATATAACCCAGAAGGGTGTAGAATTAGGCTGGTGATACAGAATAAAATAAATGT